GCATCCTTCAACTCACGCAAGCATCACTCACACCTCCCTATCATGGTTTCTAGGTCTTTGACCTCCGACCGTAATATCCTCCTACGATCCTCAGCACCGGTCCAGACTACCCCCGATTCTGTTAACCCGCTGTTTCACCTTCCTCTGTTCCGGTCTCCACTATGGAACCACTATCCTCCTCCTCTTTCGAGGGAACTGAAAACATGTCTGTGCATCACTCAACATTGCCACTACCTCCACGAGCGGCCAACTCGTAGGTGCTTCCATACATCTGGTACAAGCTCTGTACTTACTACCAATAACCGAAGCATGTCGGTCATCCATTTACTCCACTTCCTCCCCTTACGGAGGACCCTCGCTCCTTCCGAAGCTACATACCTTTCCTTTCCAGGAAATCCACTCAACAACTCTTACCGCACCTGCATGTGCCATTGAGCTAAACCTCACTCTACACTATCCATATAGAGCAACTGCTGTCCTCGAACTTCCATATACTCTGAATCTGCTCGCAAGGACTCTCGGGTCCATGCACTACCTTCCATAAACATGATCAATACTTGGGGCCAGATCATATCGGTTACCATTTCCTGGCGACATATTCCTTCATTCTCTTCATACCGATCCACTAACACATACAGAGTCTTCAGCATGACTGGACCGCCTTACCAGGCCTTCAACCTATCTGGACCACTCTCAGAACCTTCAGCATGTCTGGACCGCCCTCCTGGGCCTTCAGCCTGTCCGAACCGTTCCCCGAGCCTTCGGTCTGACTGGTATGCCTTTCGATCTTCAGTCTGTCCGGACCGCTCAAAACTCTCTTACGTCATCCTGAACCATCCTTCCCGGGAATCTCTCTCGTATATACTATTCTAGCCCTCTTGGGGTGTAACGTCCCAAAAATCACGACTAAAATTTTCTTTTAAAACATTACTAAAACCATATTCATAAAAAAACCGTATCATAAATCATAACATAATTTCGTAGCATTAATTCGAAATACAAACTTATTATCAGAGTAAAACATCCCAGGCTAGCTGACTATGGTGTGTGCACTACAATCTTCCCGAGCTCCTCCTTTGAAAACTGAGTACCTGAAACCAAAAACTGAAACTGTAATCACGAAGCTTAGTGAGCTCCCCCAAACTACCCCATACCATACAATAACATATAAAGCACATACTGGGCCTTGCCCACTGCATCGGACTGAGGTTCGGACTAACTGGGGCCTTGCCCCTTGCATTGGACCGAAGTCCGGAGACTGACTGGGATCTTGTCCCCTGCATCGGACCGAAGTCCGGACTAACTGGGGCCTTGCCCCCTGCATCGGACCGAAGTCCGGACTAACTGGGGCCTTGCCCCTGCATCGGACCGAAGTCCGGAGACTGACTGGGACCTTGTCCCCTGCATCGGACCGAATTCCGGACTAACTGGGGCCTTGCCCCCTACATCGGACCGAAGTCTGGAAACTGACTGAGCATAACATATCAACTAGCATAAACATATATACTGCATACTACATCGGGCCGTAGCCCGGAACACATAACACATAACACATAGCACATAAATCCTGTCTGAGCCACGAAGGCATCAAACATACTAACTACTACATCGGATCGAAGTCCGGAAACTACTGCTAACTGAACGGGGCGACATTGTGGCCTTAGACCCGTTCCTACTGGAAGGAAAACTCACCTGAACTGCTGAATTCTGTTGGTAACCCTCAGACTGCTAACCAACCACCTTCTGAAACGCTGCTCCTCTAACTCTCCGAGCTACCAATAACAAAGCGATACTTATCTTGACAGACCTCTAAAAGTCAACTAACTCAACTCTGATCAAAGTCAAAGTCCTGGCCCAAGTCAACCTTCCATGTTGACCCTACTCGCCGAGTCAGCGTACTGACTCGCCGAGTTCACTGATTTCCGAGTTTTGTCCTGTCCAACTCACTGAGTCCCCACTCAACTCACTAAACTGAGCCTTGACTCGAAGGGTTTGGGGTTTCGCGACTTGACTCGCCGAGTCCAAGAATAGACTCGCCGAGTCCAAGGCAATCTTCAACAGACTCGCCGAGTTGTTCATCCAACTCGTCGAGTTCATCTTCGTCTTCATACTACTCGCCGAGTCCACTCAAAGGACTCGCCGAGTCTATTCAATCCTTAATCCATGCAGTGGCTTTTTGAGCCAAACAGGGCTTCCAACTCATAGATTCATACTTCTAAGGCCTATCCCTCACGTAAAGTGGCAAACTTTACGTGTAGATCAAGAGATCTAAGCTTAAAACAATCCAAACTAGGGTTTAAGACAAAGAGACTTCACTATCCACCCAAAAACAGATGCTTTATGACTTTCCAGGCCAAGATACACTCAGATCTGAAGTAGCAACTTCAGATCTAGGCTTCTAACTCAAAATAGTTCTTAAGCATGGCATAAAAGCTCCAAATCTCATAGCCAAGGTTGATCTATTAAACCAAAAGAGGGAAGGTAACGATTTATTACCGTAAATGCTTAGAAATGCTCCATCAACTCTGGATCCAAGGCCCCTTTCTTGCTCCACAATGACTATCCTCTCTCTCAAGCTCCAAAAAGCTTCACCAAGGGTTAGATCTTGCTCCAAAACGATTATAGCGGCTAGGGTTTATTATTCTGAGTGAAAGAGGCACTAAAGGAGCCTTAGGGAAGAGAATGAGGCGTTTAAATAAGCTCCAAGTCCCGGATTTAGGGTTTTCCTTGCCCAGACCAGACTCGCCGAGTCTCCTTGGCCGACTCGCCGAGTCGGTCGCTTACTCCTCGACCGGGACCCCGCTCGGACTCACCGAGTCCCTCCTTGGACTCGCCGAGTCTCTCCTTAAGATTGGGGTTTTCTTTCTTTTCTTGGCTTTCCAACTTTGGGTGTTACATACATATGATTGGTGTCAATGAAAGTTATGAAGCCTACTAGAGGTTTAATATAAAAACAAATTTGAAATACATAGATGTTGAGGATAAATTATGAAAACACAAATAATACGAGCTTAAAAGCAATAGGAAGAAGCTAAAATTGAAAAAAATGTGCTTATTTAATCAAAATGAAGTTAGTTTTGATGGTTCTATACCTAATATTACATACATGACAACCACATATTCACTTTTCTCATATATATATATATATATATATATATATATATATATATATATATATATATATATATATAGGATGATATCAAATCCGATTTTTTTTACGTCAAATTCACAATGTGAATTTTTGAAATTTCACAACGTAAATCCGAATTCACACGGTGAATCTGAAAAATAATTTTCACATTCACAATGTGAATATATGAATTTAAATATTTTTGGATTTTTTTTTCGATAAAGAATAAGCTCTAGAAATTAAAAAAAAAAAATTGGTTTTTTGAAGAACCAATAATTATGGTTATCTATTGAACTTTTATATATATATATATATATATATATATATATATATATATATATATATATATTAGGTTTTATGTTTTAAATGGGTAGGTGGACCTACAAATTTAATTAAATGATTTTTTATTAATTAAAAGTAATCAGAAATATAGAAAATAAATCAAAAATAAATTGAAAAGAACATTATAGTCATTTCATGTTTCGCAAGGGATGAAACATGGAATACTAAACTAACGAGGAATGAAACGTGTAACTTTTAACTAAACAAAAGATAGTCCGGATTAATTTTTAAAATTAGGAACTAAACGTATCTTTTACGCTACACGAGGTACTATTGGTGTAATTTACTAAAAAAAAACATGGTGCAGGCCAGTGGGAAGGAGAAAAAATGCTAGTGATATGGGTTGGAAAGGACGGACTCTACCATCGTCAATATGGACTTCCCCTCTCTGTATATATATCTCTATCAATAAATACAAAGATTACGACGAGAGAACTGGTTCTCTCTCTCTCTCTCTCTCTCTCCATGTGAGTTTCGTTTTTCATTTTTGACCTAACGCCTACCCCTTTTCCCAACAATCCTCTCTTCCAGACATCCGATCGAACTATTGTTTCTTCTATTGATGATTTTCCTTTTTTCGTGATTTCGATCGCTCAATTCTACTGGATTTTACGAATTCGGTGAGTGAATTTCATGGTTATTGTTTTAAGATTCGTCTAGCTAGAATTTGGTTCTCCTTTTTGGTATGTTTTCCAGATTATACTTAAATAAATGCGAGAAATTTTGTTCACACATTCGTTAGACAACACGTATAGGTGAAGAATCTGGAATTAATTGGATGGAGAAGGTGAGTGCAGGCTGAATTAGTATTGAAATTCTAGTGATTGAACGTATAAGTTGGGAGATCGTGTGTGAATTTATGTACATTGGAGCTAATGGATTTGTTGACTCGAGAAGTTGACTCGGGTCAACCATCATATTTTTAGGTTTAAAGCTCCTTCTCTGCGATTGCGTTTTCTATCATTCTTTGGAATGTGCTCTTTTTGTTCTTCCTTAGTTTGTAGTTGACCATTTTTTCTTGACGCATTTCTTTCTGAAAGAATCGAGAAACCACACCTAGAGTGATAATTTTGCTGGGCTTTCTCTAGAGAAGTTCATGATCCAGCTGACATGGATCAGAAACTAACTCGAAGACAATATTACCTGAAGCTTACACAAATTCATTATTGTTCATTCATAAAAACACACACACATTGACTTTTGTATGCATGTCAAATGAGATCACGAATCATGGCTAAAGTATTATACATCACATTGTTAATGAAGTTTTCTATAAAATATCAAGTCATGGCTCTAACAGAGCTCAAAACCACAAGGTGTCTGTCCCTGTTCAGATTTAGCATGAAGGGTCAATATATTATATCTCTAGGCCCAAGATATATTTTCTTGTTTTCTTATTCCCATGGGGTCTCTTTGTCTGATGATGCATGCATACAAAATTGATAGGGTTTTTCATTCATATGTTGGGTTAACCAGTGCTAAAGGTCATGTTTTTTCTAAATAGATCTCTATTATTTATGTGTTTGCAGTGAAGATGGAGACACTGATTCAAAAGGAAAATCAAGCAAGTAGATTTTCTGGTAAAGAAATGAATACAGGACAAAAAGCCTCAACCAGTGTTCTTAGGCGTGGAACAAAGAGAAAGGATCCACAGTTTGCGAGTTATAAGAGAAGGGGTGATCGGAAATTATTTTTAAAGAAAATGGCAGAAAATCCTAACCAGAAAGAAATGTTCACTACAGAAACTAACTACTCTAGTTATGAGATGATCAGGGCAAAGCACAACAGCTGTGGCAACATACATTTTTCTACTGATCCTGAAGAGAAAGACCCAAATTTGCAAACCAAGAAGGTCTTAACACCAAAAAGGAATAATCCAGTCAAGACAATGGAAATTCCTGGAGTTGAAGGCTTGTATGAGATACCAAAACGCTCAATAAGCAAGAAAATGGAGGTGGATGTTGAAAATGATGTCAGTGACTCTGATGAGGATTATAATGAGGAAGAAGATGATGATGATGATGATGACTCCACTCTGATTTCATCACTAAGGAGATCAAACCCTTCAAAATGTAAAAGAAATTGCAGAGCTTCAAATGAGAAACAAACCTCCAAGAAAGTTAAAGATGATTCAAACAGTCTGATTTCATCACTAAGGAGATCAAACCCTTCAAAATGTAAAAGAAATCAGGCTAAAGATTGCAGAGCTTCAACTGAAAAACCAACCTCCAAGAAAGTCAAAGATGATTCAAACAAGAAAGAAAAGTCCAACGAAAAGCAGGAGGAAAAGGAAGAGGAAATCATGGACACCAAACAAAATGATGTTAACAACACCCCACATCATGAACGAGTAATGAGAAATCGTCGTGCTGCTTCTTCTAGAAACAAAATTTTTGAAAATGGTTTTTTCTTTGGGGTGTGGGAAGATGAAGAAGATGATATAGTAGTAAAAGAAGAAGAAGATGATGATGATTTTGGTGATGATGATGATGATGATTATGTTGTTGATGATGAGGGTAATGAAGATGAAAATGTAATGTTGACACCAACACATCATCATGAATTGAAAGATGTCAAGACAAAAGAAACTTTGAAAAAAGTGAAATTAGAAAACGATATTGATTTCATTGAAGACAAAAAACAGATGTCTTTTGTGAAATCTACTTCTAGTAAAAGCAGTAGTTCTAGTGATACAATAACAAAAAGAAGAATGAGGGACACTGGAGATTGTAGCTCTGCTTCATCAGATCGCATTACAACTACTGCTGACAACATCAAGGTATAAACTATAAATACTCTCTTTGATTCTTGCTATACAAACATTTGGTATGTTTTTTTTTTCCTTATATTCATCTATAATGTACCAAACAGGAGCAGAAAAAAGGAAAGGAACAGTTGAAGTGTCATCAATGCAAGAGAAACGATAGAAAGTATGTTGTTCCATGCACCAAATGTTGTGAAACATTATACTGTATTCAGTGCATCAAACAATGGTAACTCCCCTTTTTTAAGTGTTAATCATTATTTTTCTATGTTGAATAGAGTTTTTCAATGGGTTTGTTTTTCTTGACAGGTATCCTGATTTGTCAGAAGAAGAGGTTGCAGAATTATGCCCTTTTTGTCGTGGAAACTGCAACTGCAACTTGTGCTTACACTCAAATATTAAGGTTTGATCTGTCTTCTGCAAATGGAAAAATGTCATTAAAAGATCATCTGTTCTAACAATCTTTTTCATTACACTTCCCAAAAAAACAACAGATGCCAAACATGAATCTCACAGATGATGAGAAGATTGAGCATCTTCACTATCTAATCAACTCACTCCTCCCGTTTCTGAAACAAATTCGTGAAGAGCAAATGGAGGAGATAACCATGGAAGCTTTTGTTCAAGGTTTTTATTTGAAAGGAAACCAGGATAACCTATTCTTTTCCATTTCACTGAAAGCTTTTATATAATTAACTGAAGATGATTCTTTCAATTTGCAGGGGTATCAGAGTCTTCAATTTCAGTAGACCAGACAAGCTGTTTAAATGAAGAACGTGTCTATTGGTAATCATCTATTAAATATAATATATATACTTTATGCATTGTGTAATCATATAACTAAATAAACATTTATTTCACTGAAACAGCAACCACTGTTCAACATCAATCACTGATTTTCATCGAAGCTGTCCAAAATGCTTATACGAGCTATGTCTTAACTGCTGTCACGAGATACGAAACAACAATCTTGTTGGTCAAAGAAAAGTTGACTTTGGGTACACTGATAAGGGTTTTGATTACATTCACGGGGGTGAACCTCTACAGGTTTCTTTCCATGAAAATCTACCAACTACCGAATCTAATTCCATGATCAAATGGGTAGCAGAAAATAATGGGAATATAATTTGTCCTCCAAAAGAAATGGGTGGATGCAATGAGAGTATGTTACAGCTCAAACGGATCTTACCAAAGGACTGGATTTCAAATTTAGAAGCAAAAGCAAAGCTTATATTGAACAAATTCAGACACAACCAACAAAATATCGTATCAAATACAAATTCTCTTATATTTCGTGCTGATTTATACATGAAAGCAGCCAACAGAAAAGAATCAGAATCAGATGATAACTACTTATATTGTCCTGCTTTTCAACAAGGCCTTAAGGGTGAAGAGCTGATTCGATTTCGTTACCATTGGAGTAAAGGTGAACCGATAATTGTGAAGAAGGTTTTAGAACAGACACCTGGTTTAAGCTGGGAGCCATTGGTGATGTGGCGTGCATTATGTGAACATGTGGATCCAAATGTCAGTTCCAAGATGTCACAAGTGAAGGCTATAGATTGCTTAGCTGGTTGTGAGGTAATTATCAAGAGTTAATGTCCAATAATATAATATAATGTTTGAAGAAAATTGCAGAGGATGAGAGTGTCCTAAGCTGTTGTAATTTAAATTAACATAACAGGTTGAAATCAGTACTAGGAGATTTTTCAAGGGTTATACAGAAGGAAGGCAATATGTGAATTCATGGCCAGAGATGCTAAAGCTGAAGGATTGGCCCCCATCTGATAAGTTTGAAGACCTTTTGCCACGTCATTGTGATGAATTCATAAGCATGTTGCCTTTCCAACTATATACTGATCCAAGAGCAGGTTTTCTGAATCTTGCTGTGAAATTACCACCAGGGGTATTAAAACCTGATTTGGGTCCAAAGACATATATTGCGTATGGAATGCTTCAAGAACTTGGAAGAGGGGATTCTGTTACTAAGCTTCATTGTGACATGTCAGATGCTGTATGTCTTACTTTCTTTTTCATTTTTACATATAATATAAAAAACAGCATATGAAGATTTATTCTATTCCTAGATTGCATGGCAAGCAAAGTGTAATAAATGATTCCATTCTTACATTGTAGGTGAATATTTTAACACACACAGCTGAAGTATCAATAAGTGATGCTCAAAAGCTTGCAATTAAAGAGTTAAAGAAAAGACACTGGTACCAGAATATAAGAGAGAACACCATGACAGTTTCTGAACATTCTGCAAATGAGGAAGAAAACTCTAATGAAATTCTCATAAGCACAAACAGAATGATTCAACCTAGTGGAGTTCCACTGGATAAAACCTCTCCAAAAGAAGAAGAAGAAGAAGAAGAAACAGGTAGTGCTCTCTGGGACATCTTTCGAAGACAAGACGTCCCAAAGTTACATGAATATTTATTGAAGTACTCAAAAGAATTTCGACATACATATTGTTGTCCTGTTGACCAGGTAAATCTACTTTCAAATTTCTATTTGTTATTATTATTATTTTTTCTATAATTCTTCAATTGTTTGACAAAAAACATTTGTAGGTTTATCACCCGATTCATGATCAAACATTTTACTTGACAATGGAGCATAAAAAGAGGCTAAAGCAGGAATATGGTTGGTATTTTCCTATTTTGCTTCTCATATATATATATATATATACACACACACACACACATGCCCATAAACTGCAACTCATGAATGAAATGATTGTCAATCTTTTTAGGTATAGAACCATGGACCTTTGAACAAAAGTTGGGAGAGGCAGTTTTTATTCCTGCTGGGTGTCCACACCAAGTGCGAAATCTCAAGGTAAATCCACTCCCTTCCTCTCTCTCTCTCTCTCTCTCACACACACACACACACACATACATTAGAATCTTTTGTCATTGTTTGTGCCGAAAGTGAATGCTTTTTAGCATAAGGAATGTAGTGCCACTATGAAAGTATGTGTAAAACCTTAAGCCCATTAGTTATAGGCTAGCCCAATAACCTTTTGATCAACCTAAAACCACGGTGAAAGGTGTTTCTAGCCCACAACATAGGGCCTATTAAGGAGTTCATGATTCTTAAGGTTGGATGGATTGTTACAAACTTGAAACTAATGTGAAAGTTATTAGGAGCCCACGACTTGTTAAGGCTTATAAGGGCTTACAAGTCTTACGTATGGCTCATGTGATACCATTTTCTAATACGAGACCATTTTGTAAGGCTTTGCGCTTTGATACCATCTTCTAACACACACAACATGTAAAGTAGTAGATGGCCCAATAGCCTTTGGATCAACTTTAAACCATGGTGAAAGTTATAGATAGCGCACAACTTAAAGCTTATAAGAGACTTGTAGTTCTTACTTTCTACCCATGGGGGACAAGTTATTACAATTAATACATCATGATCCACAAAAACTATAGACATGTCAAAACAACAAATTCAATGCCAAAGAGTATATAGCTAAGTAGATGTAACGCTATTAAGTCCTTAGAATACAACATACAATTAGGCTTTTAGTTGGTTGTTTTTGCAAGTATCCAAAGACCTCCTTAGTGTACATTTAGTGTACAAGTTCATAAAAAACAAATTTCTACCCTCTTACAAAGTACTTGATTTTTCTCTTGCAAGTTTGAATCGATGGTAGAACAATTGCCATTAATGATAAAGTTTAGGTTTGACAATTGCCATTAATGATAAGGTTTAGGTTTGACATATATCTTGGATATGAAATTACAATGGGTGGAGCATCCACATGAAAGTATTATTTGGTTAATGGGAGGAACCATCTTTTCATGACTTTCTCTATTGAGTTATTCTTTCTATATTAAGATCGTTTTTGGCGCGAATAAGCTAACTTGTTTATTGAGCTTAATGCAATGAAATGTTTAATGAAACAACTAAAATAGCTTATAAGCTAGTTTTAGAAAAATAATATTTGAGATAGTTTATTGATAAACTTATGGGTGTTTCTCATAACTTTTCTACCCTTAATTAAATAAATCTAACATTTGTAACCTTGTGCTAGTTTTTAATATAAAAAAAAATCATAAACGAATTTGAACAATATTGTCGACTATTCAAATTCAATACCATTAAAAAACTGCAGAGATAAAAGACAAATTTGTCATTTTTATCATTTACTAAAAGCGTATATCGAACACAATATCGATATAAACTATGCTTAATGGCGTTTATTTTTTATTTATTTATTTATTTTTTACTTTTTACGACTATCTTTTTCAAAAAGTTAATTAAAAGCGCCAAACTTTATCATATTTTATGCACTTCAAGTTTTTTTTGAAAAACATTATGTGTTTGTGCAATATGCATTCATGTATGATGTTGATTTTTTTCCGGGCTTTATTTAAAAAAAAACAAAAAATGTCAAAGTGTATCATTATTTTATGCTCTAAAGTGTGGTATACATATTGATATATAAAAAAAAAGTAAACTTTTTCTTTGAAAATATTGTCTTTTTAGCTTTGTTTACTAATGAAATAGTGCTTTATTTTTTTCAACATTTCTCTCTCTCTCTCTCTCTCTCTATATATATATATATATATATATATATATATATATATATATATATATATATATATATATATATAAAATTTATTGTGTGCTAGAATGCAGGAATTTAGTAATTATTTAATTAAATAAAGATAGATATTAATTTTTTTTAAACGACAAATCTAACTTACTCTTAAACTAATCCTTAAATCCATCTATGTCCACAACGAGACTTGAACCCTCAACCTCAAGGAGGGAGATCAACACCGGATACCGCTGGGCTACAAGCCCTCTGGTAGATAGATATTAGATAATTTTTATAATTGTATATATATTAAATGACATCCATAATTATAATTCTTTTTTTATAGAAACTAATTAAATTCGTTATTAATATCAGTAATAATATGCTTTAAGAAAGCATTCACATTTAGGTTTTTCATGTATGGGTTCATATTTTGTTTATGGAATCACTTGCTTAAAATACAACAAGGTTGCATGAAATATAAAGAATATTCTACTAGAATACATTCTCATTCTATTAGAATATATTCTCATTCTAAAATAATATCTTATTTTACTAGAATAAACTCTCGTTTTCCATGTTCTAAGCAACTTTGTTGCATTTTAAGTAAGTGGGTCATGAAAGAAAATACAAACCTATAAATGAAAAACTAGATGTGAATTTATTCTGAAAGAATATTATTATTGACAAACATAAAAACCATTGTTTAAGCAACTTAAATCTACACATCAAAGTGATGTAGTTTTGCTTAATTTTTTTGCCCTCTTCTTGATATTGTTTCATAGAGTATAACATTAGTTTTTAATTGTATATTTAAATGTCTTTTTGTTGTTTTATATTTGCGATATATATCCATTAGTGTTTATCAAATATGTCTTGTAAAAATTAGTTTTTCAGCTAGTCTATCAACCATAACCAAAGTTAAAGAAAACATCTATATAACTTGTTTGATTAAGTCTTGTTCTCAATAAAAAAGAAACATTGCCTTGGACATCATGGATGTCATTCAGAGGAACAAAGGTGATAAAGAAAGCAAGAGTTTGAATGTTAAGACATCCATATAGACTATTTTATGGAATCTTTTGAAACTCCTCACTAGTTAATTTCTTGCTCCCACAAATCAAATGAAAATGTATGGAGATTAACGTATAAAATGGAAACATATGGAGAAGAATATACAAAGAAAAAGCCATGTTTGTTTATGATATTGATAACACATCCAAGTGTATCATGGTGACATAAAAGAAGCTCATGAGCTATCATGAGTCATGAGTTATCCAAGATAAGGTTCGACATAAGCTCATGAAGAGCGAGTGTATGATGAAAATGCCATTAATGGTGAACAAGATGGTGTACCGAATGAAGAGTGGTTATTATAATAAAGGATGAGGATGAGGACATCGATGGGTTGACAATATGTTGTGGTTATAACATTTAACATCGAAGAAGAAGCAATATGATGTAGAACAAGTTAACAAGTTCATGGACCATGCACACTTTAAATGAGCCTAACTATCAACCCATTAGTTATAGATCCCCCGAATTTTTCATGGAAACGTGTTGATAGGATGAACATCATGTCATCATCATAGGCAACTATTTGCCTACATTTAGGGCTTCGTAGTTTAGCATTTTTGGTTTTTGTTGAGGTTTATGATTTTTATTTGTTTTTTTTACAGAACACATAATTTCTTCGATTATTGTCGATCACATGGTATTTTAAATAATAATTGTTTATGAATTTTCAAAATTTGCTTATTATCATGTAATAATGTGCGCACACAAAGTGTGCTTTGACTTCTATGTCATGTTCAAAATGATTACCTTGAGACATCATATTTAGATCGCCAAATAACAAGATTGTGGATGCGGTGGAGGAAGTTTGATGAATCTCTAACAACATTACCTCAATCCAATCCATGAAATGGGCTAATGGGAGGCAACGAAGCCCTTATCCCCTATCCGAGGGTATTACTTTTGTAAATGACCTCTGACATAAAAAACTAAAATAAATAAGCAAATGAAAAATAGTATTGTGAGCACCGAATGATCTCCGACAAATGAAATGTCAAATTGTGAAAGCAGATACTAGAAGTCAAATGGGAAGCAAAATCTAAAGGCATGTTGATTGTAAGAAGAGGTCGAGTAAAATTATAAAACTAAGCAATACACCCAACATAAGAAAGCTAATCCATAAACTTCCACCTTGATAAATTCCACTCATAAGGATCTTGTGATAGCAAGAATAGAAACAAGGAGTATGTATATCAGTGTATAGAGGTGCACAATAAGGAGATGGAAAAGAGACTTGTGTATAAGAAGTGAATATGGGACCGTACACCTTAATACACACCGACATTCATATGTTAACCACTCCATATTATTATGAGAGATGTAAATTGAAGAACATCAATGTTAAATGGATGTATGCTCGGAGGGGGATATGTGCTTACGAAGCCGATCCACTGTTTTTTTTTTTTCAATTGAGATGTTGAATTGGGCGGTTGACGAGCAAACAAAGCAAAAGAAGAAAGGGTTGTGGCAAACTAAGAATCAGAAGTCTTTTTTTAGAATTGTAAAATCTATTTATCACAATTAGACCCGGCACTTGATACACAATATGAACACGACACGTGTTTTTTGTGTATGACTTTTAGAAATTCCTGTTATTTGGTGATCTAAATATGAAAAATTGTTTTTTTTTTTCAAAAGAAAATTTATTTTTTCCACAATAAAAAGTTTCATAGACTTTTAATGTTTTTAGAAATTGTTCTCTTTCTTGATTTTGGTGTCGTGTAACATCATGTGAGTTGACTATAGCCTATATCGATTTTAGTAAAATTTATTTTTTCTATGTCGAATTAATAAAAATATAGTAAATTGCAAAATTAGTCCTTGTGGTTTACCAAAAAGTACAGTTTAAGATTATTTTTATACGCATAGTTAGTCAAAAATTGAAAATATCATGTAGTCTCTGAAATTTGAATGCCTTGAAATGACTATTTTGTCCTGATTTTCTTTTATTTATTTAAATATTTTTATAATTAAAAACTAAAAATAAAACTCTTAATAACCTACTCCACCCATCTATTTATCTTTTAAGATACTCTCTCTCTCTCTCTCTCTGAACCGCTGTTGGTCACCTGCTGATCACTGTCAACCATCGCTTGATCCACCTCTGTCTATATCTATTTTTGTCCACCTCCATTCACCTCCCTCAAGTTTCATCACAACCTACCTCTATATAGATCCATCAAAACCCATCGTTGTCTACCACCTACTTAAAACAAATCCACAAAATCGGTGAAAAAACTCTATTTAGTAAATGACGATGATAGGTTAGCCCTTCGAACTAAGATCTCGAATAGAGGTGGAGAGAGGTTCACATCATAATGTGTTTCTTCTCCGGTAAAGTCGTTGCCAAATAATGCTAGGGTTCCGACATTCGTCAAGTTATAGTGCCACTATCTACCTCGTGTTACAACGTCGGATTTCCATATCCATATCTGGCGACGAATCGGAGTTCTAGATCCGACAAAGAATCGCCAACGTTCTAGCAGTGGCGGTATTTGTAGATCTGCCGACATCCATCCTTGATGGTGCTGGTGAAGGTGGTTGGAGTAGGTGACGTCTTCGATAGTTTCCGTCGTTGAGAGTGGTTCCCGACGAGTATGGAGGTGGTTTCCGGCAAGACAGTGTTTGAACGATAACTAATGACGGTGATGCTCAAACATGTGAGAAAAGATAGAGAGAAAAGGAGTTGGTATCTTAAAGAGAATGGGTTGGTGGGGTTATCAAGAGATTTATTTTTATTTTTTTTAATTATAAAAATATTTAGAGTAAATAAAAGAAAATGAAAAAGGAAACTAGAAGGGCAAAATAATATTTTCAAGTAGTGCTGCAAAATTCGACCCAACCCAATAACTCAACCCAAAATTAACGGGTTTAGTTGAGATTTAAAACCTATTTAAGTTAAATGGGTCAACCCATTTAACTCATTTAATTAAATAGGATGAGATGTGTAAAAATTATCAACCTGTTTTCAATCCGCTAACCCATTTAGTTTTGATATATATTTAATTTAACAATTATTTGAATATTATTATGAATTATTAATTTATAAATTATAATATTATACTGTCATTTATCTTTAAAAAAATTCAATCATAATTATCATTCTTTTTCTTAGCACTGATAATATTAGTCACTCTTCAAAATCATTTCAAAATTAAATATTTTTAATGTTATTTGGCCAATTTATATTTATTTTTGAATTAGCATTGTGTTTTTGTTATACTTTGAAACCTTATTTACGTTTGGAACTAATTTAAATGATATAATTTTTAGCTATTTTTTTTATTTTAAATGCGTTAATCCAAGTTTAACCAATTTATGTAATAGGTTGGGTTGGGAACTACATAAACATGTCAATCCGGAATTTAATTTCAAATTTTTTTATTTCAAATTTTTTATCTAAATTTTTTTAATTTCAAATTTTTTTAATTTAAAATTTTTTTTATTTATGATTAACATGACAAAAATATTCGGAATTTAATTTCAAATTTTTTATCTAAATTTGTTGTGTATGACATAAAATAAAAATCCTTTATCATATAATTGAAATCCTGAGTTCAATTGTCGATCTACATCTACATCTACATCTAGTAGTTGTGTACACTTGCGGGTTGTGTACATTCTTGATTGACTTATTGATTTTTTTTTTTCGTAAATTGACTGTTTTTTTAATGGACTAATTGAAATCCAACCATCAAAGTTCAATAAATTGGTTTAAACCGTCTGGTTCGATTCGAATCAGTTTTTAACCGCTATCGTCCCCACTGGTTCAATCGGATGGTTCAAATCAATTTTTAAAACACCACTTCCATCATCGTCTCTCTATCTCTGGTTCAAATCAGTTTTTAAAACACTACTTCCATCCTCGTCTCTCTATCTCACTATCTCACGCCACCTGCTTTGCAAAATAATCAACCAACTTTGATTTGTTATAAATCATCCAAACAAACAAATATTTAAAAAAAAATAATAATAAAGATATCCAACGCAAAAATAGTGAGGTAGGTAAGGTAAGGTGAAAAGATAAAAACAAACAGTATGAACCTTTCGAGTTAAAAAATATCCAAACAAGTACTTGTGTTATATATTCAGTTGGGGATGTGTTTAAAAAATTATTTAAATAAATTAAAAAATAAAGGGAAAAAAATATTTTTTAGATAGGGTAAATTACACCAATCGTCCCTTGTGTATATGCCGAAAAACACGTTCAGTCCCTATTTTCAAAAATTAACTCGGACCGTTCCTCGTTTGGCTTAAACTTGCACGGTTAATCCCTTGTTAGTTTAAATTTGCACGATTCATCCTTTGCCTCACATAAAATGACTATATTGCCCTTGTTTTTATTTTGTATTAATAAGAGAAACAAAAAATAAACTTTAATCGTATATTTTTACATATATTAATAATTTCTAAACATTTACCTATCACCCCCACCCTATTTACCAAGAAATACCCAAACTTTCCGATCCCACTGTTCCCCATCCCTCGCCTCCCTTTGAAACTAAAATCCGGCCACCGGAGATACAACGACCACCGGAAACCCGCTTGATCGCCGCTATGGACTACCACCTCATTTTCCTTCCTATGTTCATGTCGGAAATAACATCACCACCGACGATTATTGATTTAACACATCCACCATCGACCTTCTTCCTCCTCCTTCTCATGATTTTTCCAATACCAAAATCTCCACCACATTCCGCCCAATCTTCTCCGGATACTTAGATTTATGCTCTTTCGTATACCCAATTCCACTGCTAGAAATCACCACTTTCTCCACCATCTTCTCCTCCATCTCCGCCATCCAGTACACCACAAACCTCTGTAACTAATTATATACACCAAAATTCCATTAACCCTTAATTTCTTCATTCTATTACACACAAACAAACACACACTTCACGTGAAACACCTCTGTAAGCTCTGTCCTTATCAAGTATGATTTGGTGAAAAACACCAGATCTGGTATAGTGAAATCGTGTGTCAATAGAGATACGTGCAATATGAATTACCACTTGAGTTACCTTCGTAGCCATGGATGAGAATGAGGTTTAGTTTGTTCCAGTGGTGGCGGGTTTCCGCTCATATGTGGTTGCCCTCTCCCTTTTCTTCTTCTCCGATAAGCTTCTTTTGTCCCCATTTTAGATCATCTTGCCTTTCTTCTCCGACGATATGGGTCCCAAATCGAAACAAAATATCAGTATATAAGTCGTTCCTCTCTAACCCCCGTGACCTAAACGGGTAAAACCTAGTAGAAAGTTGCAGATTAACCCTCGCATCTTCATCGTTTCTGGTTTCAAGTTGTAGATTTGTTAAGTTGCAGGACTTCTGGTTTCAAACAATTGATTTTTTTTTTTTTCTGGTTTCTTCTTCAAGTGATGACGATCGGTGTTGGTGGTGATGATAGACGGTGGAGATGAGATGGAATGAAGAAGAATATAGGGGAAGAGATGGGTTATGAAGGTGTTTAGGTTTAGGGTCTATTTTTTTTTTTTTAAAAGGCAATAAATAATTATTTTTATAATAAATAAATAATAAATAACAAATAAATAGAAAATAAATCAAAAAAATAAATAAATAAGGGTAAAATGGTTTTTTTATATGCGGATGGACTAACCGTGCAAGAAAAAACACACTCAGGGATGGTCCGAGTTAATTTTTAAAAATAGGGATTGAACGTGTTTTTTGGCATATGCACGAGGGACGATTGGAGTAATTTACCCTTTTAGATAAGACTGGATAAAAACAAAAAGTAGAAACCTTTCGAATTAAAAAAATAAGTTAGGAATCAAATATACAAATTATCCTAAATCATAGGGACCATTCGTGTAATTTACTTCGGATTTCAAATTTCAATTTAAATCATCTAAAGGATAACGTATAGAATCCCCAAAAATCCGTTAGGATTGACACCTACAATTACTGTACTAGTAGCTTCACACAAACGACAGGTTGTAAAGGCCAGGCACACAAAACTAGACACCAATTTAGTTTTTTTTTTTTTTTTTTTTTTTTTTTTTTTAATTTTTATAATCCTTCAATTATTGAATTGGACGTACGTACATATATCGTTTTTAAAATCATAATATAACATTTTTTGTTACAGTCATGTACGAAAGTCGCCGTGGATTTCGTTTCTCCGGAGAATATACAAGAGTGCATCCGACTAACACAGGAGTTCCGTAAGCTGCCCATTAATCACAAAGCTAGAGAAGACAAACTAGAGGTATACATTATTATTATTATTATTATTATTATTTATTTATTTATGTTATATAAAAAAATTTAATTCTTTTTTATGTGACATGAAATGAAGTCGTGAAACTTTGACAGCTTTCTTTTTAGTTTATAGCATTTTAAAGCATATATGTTTGTGTTGAAGGTAAAGAAAATGATCCTGCACGCTATGCGTCAAGCCATTGCTGATTTTGAGGAATTAACGACTAGCCAGAAGTCAGAAGTCTTAGGAGAATAATAAGTATTTTTAGTAGTAGAACAAATACAGCAAATGTTCTAACAACATACATACTTGGCTTCCTAGACTTTATGCTTCTGTTTGTGGTGGTGTTATCTCGAAATGACTAGATTTCGAGGTTAGGAATAGAAACTATAGTTAATAGTAATACAAGTAACAATAAAGGGTCGCTTTTGATATATTCAAAATTGCTTTCGTGTTTGTCATCAGACCAAAGAAAATGAAAACAACTCTCCAAACTCAAACCGAATCAAGTATAGAAAACACTCACATAACTACAATTTAATTATTTTCAAGTCCTAACTGTTAATAAACTCGACTTTCGCTTCTAGCAAATCAACTTTCACTTTGCGTTGGACCATTCAATACTTTAAGATCTTCCTTTGCTACTTTTTAATTTTATAATATAAATATAAATAAACATATAGTATTTATTATTTAAACGGGTTGGCTATGATATAAATAATAACTAATATATTTAATTACACGAATTGAAAATCTCAACGTAATCCCTACCCTATTGTACACTTGGCAAAACATGATATGACACGATATTAGCAGGTTAGGATCAGAAACTTCGACACGTTTATGTAAACGGGTTGACACGACACGACACGGTAATTAAACGGGAAGGATTAAGGTCTAGACTTTCGACTCGAATATGACCCGTTTAATTATATATTATTTATTATAATTTTCATATTTTCATAAATATATTATATGTTATAAACTTATAGTGAGCCAAACTCAAGAATTACAAGTAATACTCAAATTTTTAAAATTACTTAATTTTAATCATCTTCACCACCTATCTCTTTGCTTCCTAACTTTAACTCTTTTCATTTTTCTTTCTTAACTTACTATAAAATTTTTCACTCCATCTCACAACTCCAGTGTTTCAATTTTTCATTTTTACCTCCACAACTCTACTTTCCAATCTTTAAAATATTTCAACCCAACATGACACAACATATTTACAAGGTTTAAACCTTAACTCGAAACCAACATGAAACCGACACAAAAATAAACGGGTTGACATGACACGATAATTAAACGGATCGGGTTAAGATCAAGCCCTTTCAACCCGTTTAATGTCTTGACACAACATGAATCCGACACGACACGACACGTTTACCAGGTCTACTCTATTGCTTCCAAATAACAACAATTTATTTGATAATCTTGTCAAAAATTCTAAATACGTGCAAATACCAACTCTGGCGTATGGCTACAACTTTTTGTTATGATATTCATAATTTGTTTGAACCCGTTTGTATTAAGCATTGATCATAATTTTAGTTAATTAAATGATAAAGTGCATCAAATAAATGGTCCACACAAAATCAGGTCCACAGCCCATTACGTGGAAGCTTAAATAAAAAAGTACTATCAATATTTTTTACTACCTCGAAGAGAAAATACAAAAATGGTCCATGTGGTACAGAGAAAATACAAAAATGATCCATCTTAAATGATATCTTTGTCTACTACGAAACTTAAACCTTAATCACTCAAAAGAAATGACACCTTTGTAAACACTTGATATCTCTTAGGATCAAGTCATTTAGTTATATCTTCAAATAAATTAAATGTAGTTTAAGATTTAATATTATTTTTAACTATTGTTATATCTTCAAAATGTTAATAAACTTTAAAAGTTTACTAAACTTTTAAAGTTTATTAACATTTTGATTTGTATTTTAAATTTAGTATCATATTTAAATTACAAATTACGTATTGTATTAATAGTTAGTTTCAAATGAATATGACCGAAGTATATTGATGTCTATTATAGAAGACATAAATATTTAATTGATGTTCGAAGTTCACGATCTTTTATTTTTGTTGAAAAAATTAACAAAACAAATAAGTTTACAACTATTAAACATAAACGATAATCGCTTACTCATTGGAACCTAAAACCCAAAATAAAACCATAAAGAAAATCAAACATGTAAAACAACAAAAAAGCTTGGAACAAACGTTTTTAGTTTGTTTTTTGTTTAGTTTGATTTTTGTTTTAAACAAAAAACAAACCGATCAAACCTCATTCAAGCCATATCACCTAGGTGGTGTAGAATGAGTTGTGTGATTTAAATCAAGTAAATAAGGGTTTGCAAAATGGCCTAGTATCCTCATAGATTAATGGCCTAAGAGGTTAAATCATACCAGTAAAAACATGTGTTATGTGAGAATTTAGGATGCCAATCGATGGAGCGAACGACAAGACCACGAAATGAAATTGAGAAGAAACTGAATTTTGAATTCATGTTCATGTTTTTGTCTAGTGAAAAAAAAACAATGCGATGTCGTGTTTAAAATTCATCACGAAATTGACACAATATAGCATGTTTTTGTCGTATTTTTGGTATTATGTATCATTAAATATTAATAATATAAAATAATGGTTATTTTGTTGCGTTTTTCATGTTTAAATTGATGTTACTGAAAAAAATTGTCGTGTTCGTGATACATAAAACTTTGTCATGTGGTACCATATCAGACAAAAACAAGTCACGATTACCTGATTCGAGAGACCACACGTTGATGTAAATCAAGATATAATCCATCTTGAGAGAATGCTCAAAAAGCTTAACAAGCTAAAAAGATAAATCATACCTATTATGACAACTTACATCACACCGAGACCAAAGATTGTTCAAATATAGTTAATTCCGAAACACTAACAATTTAGTGATTATGCCAAAGTCACCTCCCCTTAAGTATTCTAGTTTCTACCCGACATATGATCTTAGACTTGTTAATAATAATAATAAATTATGCAACAACATGTGTTAAAACTATATAAAGTATATCTTTTTACACCATTTCTAACATGTAACATCATTTTTTCACAACGATGGAGCACTACTTTTTGCAAACTTAAATTATCTCAGGCCTATTATATCAAAATAATATTTCAAATATATATATATATATATATATATATATATATATATATATATAAACTTTAACAAAACTTGTGATATATCTTTTTATTACTATAATTCATAAATCATATCATAAGTTTGAAATATGTAAACACTATATCAAAATAAAAATAATAGAAATTAAAACATTAAATATATAAATGAATTATACTATAAATTTGTATCATTTGAATAGATAAATAAGGGTTCATTTTGAGTAATTAAGATGTAAAATTTTATAATGAATTCAATAATATTAGGGTTAGTTTTAAGTGGTTGAGATGTGAAATATCATAATGATTTAACTTGATTTTTTAGAGTTATTTATAATTCTATAATGAATTCAATAATGTTAAGTTAAAGGGTTGAAATATAAAATTTCATTGCTCCTTAACTTGATATTTTTAGATTATTTATAATTTTATAATGAATTCAATAATGTTAGGGTTAGTTTTTAAGTGGTTGATATTAGGAATTTCATAATCATTTAACTTGATTTTCTTAGGGTTATTTATTATGATATAATAAATAACCCAAAATAAGATAGAATGAATATTATTCATGATCTAACTTATTTAAGAATTACAAAGTTAAAGATCCAACTATTTCATAGATCTAGTTTTCAAAAGCAATAATACTAATCCAATAACTTTTAATATTAATCTTATAAATCAAAAATAACTTTTAATATTAATCTTATAAATCAATATTATCAAAAAGATAATAACTAAACCTCAATAGAAATCAAATTGATCATCAAAAATATAATAACTAACCTTTTTACAAACCCCAAAATAAGAATATTTGGTACTAATTCTTCCTCCTTTGTTTCAAACGTCAATCCTTAAAAATTCTTGATGACAAACTTCTAGATCTCACGCAGCTCTTCTTTTTCTTCGTTTCCTCTCTCATCTTTTTGGCTATTTTCAAACGTCGATGGTGGTGGGATTGGGATTATTTATAAAGGGAATAGGGGATGAATTTAGGGCTTCCATGACGGATGTTAAGTTTACGGAAATACCCTTTGTTGATTGTAGGCCACGTATCAATGTAGTTCCAGGAAAAGGTGATTCGGTGAAATCCTTTGATTTCGGATGGGATAAGACAAGATATTATATAAATTACTATAGTTACGTATTTTTTATTTTTAAAAGAATTTTCATCTTTTAATATATATATATATATATATATATATATATATATATATATATATATATATATATATATATATATATATTAGCCGTTACTCACGACAAACGATAAGTGCGATTTTTTTTCGTCAAAAATCAATTTCTTGAATCAATTATTTATTTTATGCAAATAATTTATTACATCTAAATAGTTATCACTAAAAGTCATGTTAGCAGAAACGAAATCAATTAAAAGTAAAAATTAAAAGTTTGGATTATTTACAAATATACATGAAAACATGTTTAATTGTATATTATTAATCGTGTAATACTTTTTTATATATCACATTTGATGTATAGACTTCAATGTCGTTATTAATCATGCAAAGCAGCGGGTGCCGAATACCTTGTTTTGTCAATTAGTTTTTTTTTCGGCAAAGTTTATTTAAAATCTGAATTTTGATGATCGAAATGTATATTTTATTTTTTAGAAAATATATTTTAATGTGAGATGGAGTTGGACGGCGAATACAGTGGCGATGATACTACACTTTCGAAAAATTGTTTCTTATTTTTTCGAGATTCTTAAAATTGTGAACCTGATTGTAGGATCCTATGATCTCACGTAAATTGATCCCGACTTACTTGGGTCGTTTTTCGTTTTAGTGATTAAATGATGTATTAAAAATGTATTTCTTATATTTTACAATATTTATTGTTCACTTGATGGATGAATACGTATTTTTTATGTTTTAAATTGCTTTTGGTAGAGTTCTACGATTCGATTCGATTTTACGATCACGATCTTGCAAAACGAAAAACGATTCCATATAAGATCCCTGTCTTAACAACCTTGATTTGTTGTTTTGGGTGAAAAATAAATTCATTACGCTTTAGGTTAAAAATAAAGTATGTTGTTATTTTTAGTTAAAAATAAAAATACATTATCATTTTGGATAAAAAAATAACATTACATTGCCAATATATGTTGAAAAATAGAAAGTACATATATATTTATGTAAAAAAGAAATCAAATACATATGAACATCACTATTATTAAGGCTTTTTTTGTCAAACTATAATTCTTAAAAAAATAGTTTTTAAAAGAGAGCCTTTTAGGTTTTTAATATCTCTTGCTCATAAAATTATTATTAC